TCATGGCTTTTTCAAACTGGTTTCAGTTGCGTGCAACACAATAACAACTTTAGGAAATAAATTTAGATGACAGAAGCAAGGTGCTGGAGGTGAAAGAAACCAAATCTGCTATGTTGTGTGAAAGATGTGACATCTGTGGTGGCAGAGTTGCTATAAATGCAGCACTCCTCATTCCTCTAGACTATTTTAACCCACCCATCACAGCTGTGTAATCTAATGTGAAGTTTGTGATAGATTTTTAGCATTTTTGCAAATGATATTTCCTTAAAAGCTTTTGGTTTTCCTAAGCTTTGTTATTATAATACCTGGACTACTTAACTATATAAACCAGTATCTGTATTCATTATGTACTCTTCCATTTGTTTTCAACACCATACATTTTACAAATGTCAAAGTGAACACCGATATAGCTAATATACTTTGTAATGTGTCAAGCCTATAGTGTCATTAGCAAGAAAACCAACCTTACCCTTATTATAAATTAAATTTGCTGTAGGTGTGTTATGCACAGTTGTCCAAGTGAAAAGGAATGAGAAAAGCAATAACTCAAAAAGTCAGTTTTGTCTATTGTCACAATAGTTTTTCATTTTTTAAGTTCTCAGAAACTGATATGTGGTCATTCCAGGAACTGCAGGTGTAACGCCTCACACACTGGCTTCATTTCTCAGCCTCAGAGGTTTGTATATATCCCACAATATAATGCTATGCTGAGAAAATTACTATTGACTACAGCTGTTAGTTATGACACAAAATGCCACGAGTAGTAAGTGTCCAAAGTCTCTATTTACTGCTCACTATTAAGTGAATTATTGAGTGTACATTAAACAGGGAGCAGTGAATGGTAAATGGTCTTACACTTGTATAGCGCTTTTCTATGCATTGCAACACACTCAGAGTGCTTTCACACTATTTGGCCATTCACCCATTCGCACTCCCATCTGGACTGGACAAGCCAGGAATAAAACTGCTAATCTTCCAGTTAGGAGATGACCCGCTCTACCTCCTGAGGGGTAAGACTAAGTGAATGAGGGACTGATTTTGGACACAGCAATGTTTTTTTTTTTCCCTTAAATGTTTTGGCATTAAACCGAGATCACGAATGTAACCGCCAGGTTCTTTCGAGGGGAAGTGTTTTGTTGTTGTTATATCTGTCAGTTGTTTAAAAGGTCTATCTTTTTCATTGTATTCATATGTTCAGAACTGTGACAGAAGGTTACTCTGAACTGTTATTTAAGGTTATTAATGTAGACAGAAGCGGAACACTAGCTGCCCTTGCAGCATGCCTGGTGTTTGTTTGCTTTGATTTAAACTCATCTCACTCTTTCATTGAATACAGTCTTGACCTTTTTTTCAGAATATGAACCTGGGAGCAGACACTACTGGCTTGCCAATACACTCCACACACTGTCAGATCCTCTTCTTGTATAAAGCATTTTTTCTTTATATTGCATTTTGCTTGTTTGTGTCACAATGTTTAATGTTGAATTCAATCATTCAGGCCAATCTCATTTAGAGTATGCCCTTGCACTTGTTTATTTTAGATCTTTCTGTCATTGCATTTTGATACAGTGATTCATCAGTAAACTACATATTTTGCTTTCACATCATTTTTATATTTACACAACTTTTCCTCTACCATCACCATGACATAGTTCAGACTCATTGAGTTGCTAGCATGGCTATAGACTATAGTTTTACATGGTCTCACAAATTCAGTTAGAATTTAAGGTTGTATACAGTACATGAACATATTTATAACTGCCATGCTCTTAAAGCTCATAAGGACATGGCAAAAACAAAACAGGGATCTAGCTTAGTGTCTGTGGACAATTACAAAGTGCCTTAGCACAATTTTTTTTTTCTGCACAGTTCCTTCACTAAGCAACAAAAAGGATTATAACTAGGATCATTAAAACATTCAAACACATCTGAGGAGCAGGCAATCAAACAATAAATTACCATATCATTCTGTGCCCAAGCCTGTCCCTTGAGTTCTCTCTTTTCCATCCTCCCTCACCCTCCTTTGCCATTTTGCAGTTTCATTATTCTTGCACAGCTATAAACATTATGTGTTGTATATCTCCTTACCCAGATAGTCAGTATGGAAAGTACTCAGACCCTTTCAAGTTTTCTACATTTTGTTATGTGTCAGACTCATCTTAAATGGATTCAATTCCATTTTTTCCTCATAAATCTACACACAATACTCCACAGTGTTAACATGAAAACAGGTTTTTCAGAGTGTTTTGTAAATTTATTAACAATAAAAGACTGAAATATCCAATTTTCCTAAGTGTTCAGATCCTTTGTTTTGACACTTGCAGTTGAGCTCTGGTGTATCCTACTCCCATCACTAGTCACTGAGATGCTTCTACAGCTTGATTAGAGTCCACCTGTGCCTAATTTAATGCACTGGATATAAGTAGGAAAGGCACACATGTGTCTATATAAGGTTTCATAGCTGGTGGTGTATGTCAGAGTGAAAACAAAGTCATGAGGCCGAGAGAACTGTCCACAGACCTGCGAGACAGGACTGTGTCAAGACATAGATCAGGAGAAAAATGCAAGAACATTTGAAGAGAAGGTCAACCAACATCGCAGCAATCCACCAATCAGGCCTCTATGCTAGAGCGGCCAGACTGAAGGCCATGACAGCCTGCTGGGAGTTTGACAAAGGGCACCTGAAGGACTATTAGACCATGAGAAGCAAAATCCTCTGGTCTAATAAAACAATGACTCAACTATTTGTCCACAGTTCCCAACAGGGTGTGTGGAGAAAACCAGGCACTGAGCATCACCTCATTAATACCATCCCTACAGTCAAACACGGTGGTGGCAGCATCAAGCTGTGGAGATGTTTTTCTGTTACTAATCAAATACTAAGTGAAGGGTCTGAATACTTATGTAAATGTGATATTTCAGCCTTTTATTTTTAATAAATTTACAAAACACTGCAAAAACTTGTTTTCACTTAACACTGTGGAGTATTGTGTGAAGATTAGGAAAATTTTTTTAATTGAATCCATGTTGGGTCTGCAACATAACAAAATGTAGAAAACTTGACGGTGTGAAAAAAATTCCGTACTGACTGTAAACAACAAATATTGCGACTATACTCATTTACAGTGCCTGTCTACACATTGCTTCATCTAGTTGAAGTTCCTCTTTTTTCAATTAGAGTCATTTTTTTCTTCTGCTATGACGAAACAGGTTTCTTCAAGATGTCTCATTAACACAAAGAACTGCACATCTGCCTTCAGTCACCTTCTTTGTAAAACTGGTGACATTATCTTATGATACACCCTGAGCACTGACACTGTGCTGACAAGCGATGACACAGAAGAGTGTAACGGGGATGTTCGAAGTACTTTGTCTTAATGAGCTGCCATACAGTTCGAGCTCCCCACCTGTGAGGATGAGCTCCCTCTCTCATCATTTTATTTGTCTTAGGACTGACGGCTTTGTCTGTCTACCTTTTGTATGCTCTCCTTTTATATCTTTTCAGTTCAAAAGACTACACAATAGCTGTATATAACTTCTCAACCACAGTACATTTTCGCAAGTTAGTTTTTCCATTTGCAGCTATATATTCCCACAAACACCTGCTTACATTTGTGAACATGTCTAACCTCTGGGAAAGCAGCCTTGCAAAATAAGTGCCATTGTCTACATTATCATGAGTGTGCCATGGAGAGGGTCCACTAATGCACACTAATCCTCCAAGGCAATGACCTCAATCCCTTAAATCTGTCAATAGGGAAGCTGATGCTCCAGATTAGAGATCCTGCGGCAATGATACAGATGGACTCCTGTGCTGTTGCTTGCAAGAAAATCTCAGAGGGTTTATGATTTACATACTTCGTTATATGCAAATTAATCCTGACTGTTATGGACTTGTATCTCAATAGATTAGTTCCAAAATAATGTGACAGGAATTATACTTCATTATGCTGTTTCCCAACCGCTAATGACGTGCATGATGACTACAGTTAATTCCAGAGCTCTCCCTGGCTGGTGATGAAGCAACAGTACTTCAGTGGAAAAGCACATTTATGGTACATTTTGTTACTATATTGTTGTTATACAAACTGTGCACATGTTATATCTTAATTATTATTATTGTGTCTGAACTTCTGAGTTCTGAATTCTGTGTCCAATATAAGAAAGCAGGTCCACAATCAAAAGATGCACCACAGAGACAGCTTTGAATCACTCCTTATCTCTCAGGCGAGTTTGTTTACTTTCCATCTGCCGATGGACAGATGAATTGACTGGCAAATGGGTGGGGGGTTATACACATACAAAAATGCTGGGCCTGTAGGAAAAAGAATTTGGGGGAAGTTATTAAAATTGCTTTTATCAAAGCTCTAAATCCACATGATGCTGTTGTGCAGCAAGGAGTGACAATGCATGCTGTCATATCCACAGCTGCCAGTTCCTATGGTGCAGGGCATCAGATTTATGTGCCTTCTTTAAGCTGGAGATGCTGTTTATGCATCACAGCTCCAAGAATGTAATATTGAGAAGTGTGGCTGCGGTCACCTCAGAGACACAGGAAGGAGGATGGAGAAAAAGAGACAAATGAGCCGTGAGTTATCATATGTAAGCCTGTACCATTGATGAAATACCTGTAATTCTTTGGGGACACTATCAAAATACACAAAATGAGGATGTGTTTCCTTTTTCCCATTTTTTTTCTAATGCTCTGTGCAATAGTCATTTTGTGCAGCAGCAGAGAACTGCAACATTGGCAGGCATAACAAATATATTGCTGTCAGCGTGACATTTCGATGAATGATGACATCAGCCTTAAATCACATTCAGCAGTGATTAGACATAATTAAATCCCACTGATTCATAGCAGAGCTTCAGCCTATAATCTGAAGATTCACTGTGCGTTTCTGTGAATGACTGTACTGTTTTATAGGCTTTCAAACCAATGACTAAATTAAATTAAATTTAAACTATAAAAAATGTATTCATTTATTTTTATTGTTGGGATTTCATAGGAAATAAACATCACATTTTTAAAGCAAGAGAATGTTATATAGAAAAGGCATGAGCATTTTTCATTCATACATAAAAAAATCTCACAGTTGATTATGTATTGCTCTGAGTCAAGAGACCAAGATTAGACATTTTTACAAATTGTAGAACCAGCCTCCCAGGAGAAGCCCGAAGCTCGAGATAACTTTGTTAAAAATTCCAAAACAATGTCCACCTCAAACTCTGCACAGACTATATTTGCATAGCATGCATTTGATTTGAATAAATATCTGGTAAAGTGACAGACTGCTCAAAATAACCTGATAAATGTTGCGGATTCTCTGACAAATTGCACAGATACTTCAGGTATTCTCTGGGGGGGATCCTGGAAAAAAGTACAAAAGGCTGGAAAAGAATATGATTACTTAGAAGAAATAATCCCTCCTCTACTGCATTTACACTGACAACTAGCAATATCTGGAACTGTTTCTACAGGGGCAACAGAAATATACAAGGAGGAGGAGATGAAAATTTAGTTTTGTGTTAGAAATAGGTAACAATACAAATATATTGTATATATATTTACAGGGTCCAATCTAGAACACATCTTACAAATAGACCTGACATCTAGAAGATAAAAACTGGTTGCAAATTGCTTTTAATCTTAAAGAAAGAACACAGTGTCTCTTAATGTTGGTCTTCACTGGTACAACATGACATATTATAGTGTATTTACAGGCTTGCAGTGAACACACACTTTTTTTTTTTTTAATATAAAGTGCCCTTTAGCTTCTTCTTCTACTTTCGGCTGTTCCCATTAGGGGTCGCCACAGCAAATCCGATTCGCATGATTAAATTTGGCACGTTTTTACACCGCATGCCGTTCCTGACACAACCCTCTCTATTTATCTGGGCTGGGGACCAGCACAGGAGTCACTGACGTGAACCCCTGTGGCTAGATACATACTATAAATTGCCATTTAGCTAAACTCCCTAAATGCTTCCTTTAAAGTTATTTATCTTTTATCAAGAAAAAAATAAAATGAAAGCCAGCTTCTTTTCTTTTAATTATAGCCCTCTCTCTTACTCACTCATACACACACATACACACAACCAAACAAATTCACTGGAGCTGTCCTACAGTTTTGACTACAGGCCATGGCATGTCAGGTAAAGGTGTCTGGGGCTCAGCAGTGGTCTGGTGCTGCTGCAGCTGCTGGTTGGCCCAGTTTACATCCACACTGTTTTTCTTCAGAGCAGCCAAGTGCTTGGAATCCAAAGTGGTGAAAGTGGTGAACTGGACCTGGTTTCTCTTACTGGTGGGGGAATGAAGTGGTTCGCAGCAGTGAGGCCTGGCCAGTAAGGTGGCTGAATGGTTTGCCATGGGGTCGATCGCCTTGCTCTGAATTTGCTGCTGCTGGGAGTTGGATCTGCTGCGGCCAAGGGTGGCGGTTCTTTCGGGTACAGCAGGAGTACTCACAGTAGAGAGGGTACTCTTCAGGCTGCGGTGGCCCTTGGAGTCTATGGAATGATGGGACTCCAGAGGAATGTGATCTTCACATTTCAGTGTGGATACTTGATCTTGGGCACCTGAGGCAGGAGTGCTGTGATTGTTGCTCTTCAGCCATACCCAGTCATGCTTGTGATCCTTTGGGTCCCCACTAGGTGCTGGGTCTCCTTGTACAGGGGTCTTTTGATTCCGGGAACAGAGTTTATACGAAGCACAGTTGAGCAAAAAAGCCAAGATGGCTACACAGGAGACCCCCACCAAGGCATACATGCCAATTTCCATGTCTGACATAGCTCTAAAAGTCCTAATGAGATCACTCTCAATCACTTTTGGGGTTTTATATTTAGGAGACTCCTTTTTGGGTGTCAGTTCTGCTTTAGGAATGTCTTTGTTGGAGGGTGGATTGGGAATGTCAAGCATGTTTCCATAGCTGCTTTTCTGCCCTTTACCTCCAATAACAATACCAACTGTTGTTGCAACAGGTTTGGTAATGCTCAGTGTATTTAAGCTAAGTGTGCTCATAATTGTAGTGGCAGTTGTGGGAATTATACTATATGCTGTATCTCTTGTAGCTCTTGTTGTAGTTCCAATCCACACCACATGTGGCTGCACATTGGTTGAGGTGGTTCTTTCTTCCTCCTCAGGTTCTGTGCTTGTTACCAACCATTTATCCATATCTGTGATGGCTACCTGTGATGTTACCATTGTTTTGAGCTGTCCCTCCATTTCTGATAGATGACTATTGTAATCTTTATTTCCATCATTACTGACCCCACTTTGACCACCACCTTGTCCTGCAACACCTCTACGGTTACTCAGAAAACTGACCTTGAGGAGCCTAATGCCTACTGCTAACTTGCTTTTCCTTTTAGATTTTTGGCATTCCTCACAGATCCTCAACTCCACTCTGACCAGCACACCCTTCCCATCACCTTCACCTTGTGCTACTACAAATGTGGACAGTGGGGTGCGGCGTACTGTGGCCACCCTCTTATCTGGTGTAGAGACTGTCAGAGAGTAGATGTTGTGGTCAAACAGCTCCAGTGGAGTAACTGCACCATCACTGAACTGAACCCAGCAGCTGACCAGTGCTTCCTGTGAGAAGGAAAGAAAGACAAACTAACTGTGAACTTGGATTCCAGCTGTATTTTTGAGATGTTTTGTAAAAAATACAGCACCCTGAGAGTACTAAATGACATTTTAATGCAGGATGACTCTAGAGACTTGTCAGTTTTAATATTGCTGGACCTTAGAGCATGGCTCAATGAATCCTCACTGACAGGCTGGCCTAGCTGGTTCTGCTATTAGCAGTTTTTTAAATAATTTATCAACTAGACAGTTTACTGTTATGGTTGGTGAATGATATGTCAGATAATGCTTTCTTGAATTGTGGGGTACCTCATGGGTCTGTTCTTGGTCCTATTTTATTCATCATTTGTATTCTACCTTTTAATTTGCCATTTTAACCTAGTTTTTCATTTTTGTGCTGATGATACTGTATTTCTTTGTCGAACATGGCAATCTCCACACACAGACCTGAAGGACTGCCTGGACCCTGTCTCAAAGCTTTCTGAGTTTAAATAAAGATTAAACAAAAGCCCGTATTAGTGGCCTTGGGAGTATTAAGAATCTTGATATTACAATCAGCTCATCTTTTGATTTCTCTGTTCGGATGAAGAATGATGTTTTCAGTTACAAAACACTTTAAAGATCAACCATATGTTTTGTAAATGCAGAGTATTATTCCACGCTTTTGTGTCCTCACAACTAGTCTATTGTGATACTTTTTTCTCCTTCTTCAGCCAAGAAAATATAGCTTATATGCAGATGGATCACAATGCTGCAGCCCAACTTCTAACAAAGACAAAATGCAGAAAGCATACTTCACCAGTGTTGGTCTCTTGCCATTGGCTGTCAATACCAAATTATAGTTATTAATTAAAGTCTCTCAGACCAACTAACAAGTGCCTACTGGATGTTCCAAGAGCCTGACTTATTGCAAGCTGATGGGAGATTGAGCATTCACTGTCTTTGCCTCTAAACTTTGAAACAGTTTACCTCTTACAATACGATTATCCATTTCCATTGAAACATAAAAAAAATTCTCAAGACACTTATATTCTTGTGCTTTTTTTTTAAAACTGATGTTTTTGTGCTACATAAATAAAACTTAACTTACTTACAGTACTGACTGTACGTAACTGAACAATTAGTTCACAGTATGTAGAAAATCAGGTCTGAACACATGCAGAGACTCAGTATTCCCTCTGCCTTCAGTGAGAGCAATAGTCACATCATTGTTAACAGTAAATTGCCTCGCCAATCTCTTTATGATAACACTCAGTAGGCCATTATTGTACCATAGATTATAGTCCTATGTAATCATAATAGGAAATATAATTTAACCAAAGTGGATAAAGTAAATATAATAGAAGTCTACACTTCTGGCATAAAAACAAAGTAATACAGTGACATGGGTCATTTTAAGAGCAGAATTAGTCAATACAATGGCATTAATACAGTGATTTCATGTTGCTGGGTCGCCACAGACCTAACCTATATTTTAGTTTGACTACATTATGAATCGCCCGGAGCAAAACAGTAACACCTACAATCAGAGACACAAATGGCTGGTCATCTGCACTGGCATGGTTCTAATAGTTTGTTATTGATGGGCAGACCAGCCACAGTGATAGTGTACTGTAGGTAAAGTGAGGTGTCATTTCAACAGCTTTTGACCACCTAATTGCTGCACCCTGCCTGGTTTGAAATGGGCAACCTGCCATGGTTAAATGTGTGACCAAGCTTTTAAAATGATCATCTTTGCACCCTATCTGTCTCTTCCGCTCTCTCACACAGCATGGTAACTACTGATGATGGTCAGGGCTGTGAACACAATGAGATCACACTGGGAGTCAAAGAGAAAACACAAATATTGTCACAGCCCTAAGGACATTTTGGTAAAAATGTGCTTTGTTGTGTCAGTTTTCCAAATTCAGATTTTCTCTGTATAAGCTCATTATATCTTTGCTGCAAAGATATAGTATACATCATTAAAACAGTTTAATTGAAAGTGAAATTTTCAACTGTGCTTCACAGAAGGTTTACAACATGTAACAAAATGTTTTGAATTAAGGTACAGTATACTGGTGCATGTATTTTTTTTTAGATAATCAGAGTTATAAGATATGACTACTCCCTGGACCTCACAAGGACTGAGGGTATGATCTTGATCTGAATGAACCCAACATGCAGACTCCATTACTTGTTTTCATTTTATCCTATTTCCTTACATTAAATGTTGAATTCAATACTATTTCAAATTAAATATTTAGTGGTTTTCAACAAGTCTGTCTCCCTACAGATGTCTTGCCAGACATTTGAAGTGGTAGTTGCAAATGCATCGTTGCCTAAATATTGTATGATCCAAGCAATCTGTCTCTATACTGGTGAAAGCTACTCCACAAATTCCTAACAATGCACTTTCCAGTTGTATAACAGTACATACACCTAGTAAATTTAGGAGAGAAATAGACTTAAATGAACATTCGAATGCATCCAATCACTAAACCAGTTAACTACAGCTGCACTAAACAATGAAATCAGTGCTTGCTTTTTACATACAAGGTTTGATTTGCATGTGGCCAAATGGAAAGTTACCATGTGGATTTTAAAATGTGGGGCCTTTGAGGATGGTGATGCTGTATCTGTTGCTGTTTTATGATACATGCACCTGTGAGCGTTTTTTAGGCAGGTGTGCATAATAAAAGGAGAAAAACTATGAGTTATTGAGGAATGCTTGGGTATTTCTTGTTAAGTGACCACAGAAAGCAATAACCAAAGAGTGTTTTAAACTTTGCACACATAGGCAAAACATGGCTGTATTAATACCAGCAGGTGGGAAAATGGCTTACTTAAAAAGCCCATATATAATTACACGGTTAGAATAAATACAGAGAAAACCAGAGCGTGAGCTCTCACCTTTGACATTTATTCACAGCCCAAATCAATCTGAAGTTGTGTTTGAATAATCTCTCTGGTGAAACATCTTGTGTTAATAAGGCTTTTTATGACATTTTTACTTGATGATTTGATATTTTATGATGTTAACATTCTGTTGAATGGTCCTACACAAGTTCTTTGACTTGGTTAAAGATGTGTATTAACAGGAATGAAAAGAGAGTACTGCCACAAACAGCAGACCTGTGCACTGAGCTTTGATCGTGTATGTTTAACAGTTTCCCAGTTACTTACCTGTTTGCGCTGTGTGATCATCTCCCGTGTTGTTGCCATGGCAATGATGCCCCTGTTACTCCCTGGGCTGGGCTGCAGGGACAGAGAGAGTCCAGAAACCAGCTGCACCCCCAATTGTGTAACACTGACTTTGTCATCCACCACCCTGATGCTCCTCTCAGCCAGGACAGATGAAGTCAGTGGGGACTGCACCTGAAACAAGCACAACCACATCTAAATGGCAGGTGGATATATACATAGATGTAGCATGCACTGCAACAATTAAAATCCCACCTACACACACACACACACACACACACACACACACACACACACCCCTCATGACTCACCTGTACTGTAGTAGAGCCCACAGCCCGTCCCTGCAGCACCACCCCGTCTTGCACCAAGGCTATATCAGGGTCTGACACTTTTATAAAATAGCGTACAAGACTGGTTACATCCACCTGTCAATGCAAGAAAGAGCATTACTCTTAATTCTTTCCATTCACCATTATTATCTGACACATCTAGTTAAAGCTGAGTGCTGCCACGTCAACATCAGTTAGGGCTGTTAAAATGTATTTACCTGCCAGTCAGGACCCAGGAAGTATTCAGCAGGCTGTGGCCCAGTTAGTGGGTCAGGCAGCAACTCAGTGTCAGCCTGGGCCATGAAAGGTGTTAGCACCCTGAGTGCGGAGTGCTGGTACTGAAGCATGCAGCCCCTGCCCTTCCTCATCTCTTCCTCTTCCTCACTGTCCCATGTTGACCTAGAGCACAAAGGCAATCAGACACATTTAAGCTTATTAGGGAATGAGTTTTTCTGATTTCTTTGTGATGGTTAGGTTAGCATAAAGACTAAGAAGGAGGGGGAGTAGTTACCCTGGGAAGCTTGTCTATACAAAAATCAAAGTGTAAAAATGACAAGTTGTGGTTTTGTGGGGATTTTATTAATCTCTTGGAGTGACTGCAATAAATAACCTATACCTATAACTATACCTATGGCCAGCTTTTTACCTTTGGAGAGAACCAGAGTAGCTGTTCCCCCTTGTTCCAGTCTTGTGATGTTGCTAGACTATCTGCCTGCTCACTGTAGAGCCGTACTGTATTTAGTGTGCAGGCAAAAAAGTGATAATCGCTTTTCTTCAAGAAACTGAATCAGCATGTTTCCCAAAATGACCAATAAAATTATGAATACTATGGCACTGCATGCATTGAACTACATGGTTATTTACAATTATGCACATATTTTTCACAGATATACATTTTATTTCTGGGTAGGTCTAAATGGTTTATAAATAAGCTAAGATCAGTACTCATTATACAGTATGTGTATTCTTGGCAGTCGGGCTCAGTTCATTTCTCTAAGCAATACAATACCTTGGCTGAAGCTTTATTAAATAGCTCACAGTGAAACTATATACTGTTTTTAACCTGCAGGAGAGACTCTGAAAGCTGTTGCTGCTGTGGAGGCACAACACATGCTGCGTGACCTTTCCTTCTAAATGAATTTAAGTTAAATTAACCAGGATCCTACTGCTGTGTGATTTGTTTGTGGGTGATAGAGGTTAAGCTGTGCACCACCCTCAAACCTCTCAGCACTGATCATATGATTATCATAAGCGCAGCTGGTGTGCCACACACTGCACTATGGGTGCGCTGGAGGGTTGGAGGATATGCTGGTGGAAATGCTTTCATACTGCAGGCAGAAAGCTCCTATCAAGAGCAATGGTCCAAATAAACACCATTATTAAATAGCCTAAGGTAAGACCTTAGCATAGCTATGTGATAGACTGGCGACCTGTCCAGGGTGTACCCTGCCTTTCGCCTGATGTCAGCTGGGATTGGCTCCAGCCCCCGCGACCCTATTCAGGAATAAGCACTGGAGATAATGGATTGATGGATGGAAGACCTTAGCATGTGATGGAGACGCTGCTTACATCAGTGTGATTCAACACCACACAAGGAAACTTCTCAGTCCATGAATATATAATAATACTATTAGTGTTGATTGCAAATGTTTATAAAAAAATTGAAACCACCAGAGATAAAACGACACTGAAAAATGTACCTCAAAACATCATATGTTACAAATTAATGTCACACACACACAGAATATTACAGTGGGGAAGATTTCATGAATCCCCACAGTTTTTAGTAGGCATTCTACTCAAGAACAAAAGTAAACAGTATATGAGTTTTGTTATGAAGCCCAAAGTTTGACATCAGTCTGTTGCTGCCTGTCACAGAAGTTCCATTTGCTTTTCTGTCCCATACAGTTGACATGACTAATTCAGTACTTTTTACATCATGAGCTAAGATTAGCCATTAATAACACACCATAGACGTTTCACATTTTTGACCTAGTATCTGTTTGTTGTCTCGAGTCAGGTATTGAATGTTTTAGGAAATGAAAGCCCCAAGTCCATCAGTCAGCCATCATGATTAGTATTGAGTGAAAAATAATGATTTTACTCTAAGTATTGAATGAACGTCCACTAACCTTTTTCTCCAGGGCAACAATGTTGGCTCCACACTATCCTACCCATTAATGCAATAGACATACATGTGATGTTTTTTATGACTAACTACCCATACAGTATACAAAAGGATATTAGAAACATATCTCTCAGTATAATACAAACCAATTCAGCACCACAGACTCAAAATTGACCATACAAATGAATCAAGAGTTCTCTGGCACAGTTGACATCAATTAGTTATTAATAAAAGCTTTGTAAAAAAAACAGTTTCTTACAGGGCTAACTCAGTGTACATCACATCAACTGATTCCTTCTCCTTTGAAATATCTCTACAAGGTCATCTGCATAACCTAATGAGTGGCTGCTTACACATGAAAACGTCACAAACACATTTGACAAAAAACATCAAATGTAACAAGCATTTCCAGGAAGGCTGAAGAGTGTCTTTATTCTTAATGCAAATTCTTACAGTACATTAAGCCCTTTATACCAGAGCTATGGACTTACATCCCATGCCTGACATATAAACTGGGGGGTCTTTAGACTTGACATGACAACAGCATCAGCAAAATGCAAACGATATGGCTCAAAAATCACAGATGGACATCTAACAACTTTTTTTGGCATATGATACTGAACAAAATGCAACTAGACAGCACTCAGAGAGTGTTAGCTCCTCCATCACTTTCCCCATGACGCCATAAGAGCAATATTTCCATTATAATCTGACACTCATAATAAACCTATATCTAAACCTATAAACCTTGCAATGGGAATCACATTATAGTCATTATTAGTTTGAAAGTTATTCAATAAAAACATTAGATATGAGTGAATACTAAAGGCCACAAACAACTAAATAAATACAGATTAAGATAACAATGTGCCCTTACAGTCCTTCATAAACACCATTTGGCTGCCTGTTAGTCCATTTTAGAGACTGTTTTCCGATGTTTCTAGAGCTGCCTTATTTCACCTGTGCAATATCACCAAAATCAGGAGCATCCTGTCTCAAAATGATGCTGAAAAACTGCTCCATGCATTTGTTACTTCCAGGCTGAACTACTGTAACTCTTTGCTATCAGGATGTCCCAATAATTCTCTAAAAAGCCTCAAGTAAATCCAAAATGCTGTAGCCAGAGTACTGACAGGAACTAGCGAGAGAGATCATATCTCTCCTATATTAGCTTTTCTCCACTGTCTCCCTGTAAAATCCAGAATAGAATTTTACATCCTTCTCCTAACATACACATTGTATGCTTGTGGCTTTTAGGAATTAATGACAAGGCTCCATCGTATTTTAAAGACCTCATAGTGCCTTATCATCCCAACAGAGAATTTCGCTCTCCGAGTGCAGGTCTACTTGTGGTTCCACAGACGCAGAATGGGAGGCAGAGCCTTTAGCTATCAAGCTTCTCTCCTGTGGAACCAACTCCCAGTCTCAGTTCGGGATGCAGACACCCTTTCTAGCTTTAAGATTAGACTTAATAGACTTATAGTTAGGGCTTGAATACTTGAGACTTTGTACCATCTTTCTTTTTAACTATAGTGGTTACAAATGTTTTAAAAAATTTTAGTTATCTAGTGCTTACTACATTTTTCACAACTGTAATTCTGACTTATGCAATAATAGCTCTGTGTGTCTGTTCTCAATAAACAATATGGAATTGTCTTTTCCATCAGATATTTCACGACATCCTCAGGATCATGCTAATGGGACCTTACCTCCTGCTGCTGGTGGTAACAGGAACCCTCCAGCCTTTGATCTGGCTCAGCTCGGGGTCGGCCACGTCAATGAGCAAGGGCAAGCGTGGCATCCATACACTCATCTCCAGCTGGGCACTCAAAAAACCATAGGTAAAGTTGAGCATCACTTTGCGCTTTCCTCTTGTCTCTTTCCCATTTACATAGACATAGTCACAGTGTTCTGACACCTGGACGGGAAAACATAGTCACAGTGTTCTGACACCTGGACGGGAAAAAAAATAGGAAGACAAAAGGTGACTGGGGGATTCAAGGGTGATGTCCTGGGCTGAACATGGCCCAAATGCTCAGACAATAATATGTCATTACTTTTTGTCTGTCTGTCATTCTATAAATGTCTTCTCCACACATACACTTTTGTAGATTTTCTATATAAAGTCCAATGGAAAAGGAAAGTTTTTGTAAGCAACTGTTAAAAGAGAAAGGAAGGGGAAGGAGGAATTGAGGCACCAATACAAATAAATTAAAACCACACACACACACACACACACACACACACACACACACACACGTTATTTATTCCATACTACTTCCAGTCTGGCCAGGGAATCACACACCGTTTCTGTTCATGTCATGTAAATTCACGACTGTGGTTTTTATGAAACTGTTAGAGAATATAAATTAGAGCTGCCTTATGACTGTTCCTGTAACACTGTACTATAGGTGGGCTCATTGCAGTCCCCACTAGTGAGAGCAATGAGGTGAGACACAGCAGTTTGTGTGTTTTATTTAAGATTGGAGTCTATCTCCACTGCTGTCCCACTTATCTTAACAAACCAGTGGCTCCAGAGAGGTAATTGGAGAGCACCAGACTGGAGAATAGAGTGTAGTGCTGAAGAGAGGGAGGTGAAAAGGAGGAGGCAGAAAAAGTGAGGAAGTGATGGAGGAATGACTTCCAAGGTAAGTCAACTTGAACTCCTGTGGAACTGCTGAGGGATGCTAGTCTTTGAAGACCTTTTCCCATCATGCTTTCTGTCTTGTGTAGCCTTCCACTGTACAGTAAATATACTGTACTGCAGGGTCAGTGGATACTTGAAAAATAAACTCTATAAGCACTCAAATAATGTGTTTTTTTTTTTTGTTCACTAATGAGATATCCACATCCATTAAAAACCATCCACATTAAAGGTTTTAATAGTCATTGCTGTCTTGCAATTTTTCTGCTTCCCTGTGCATCACCTTAGTACTTTACTCTTTATTCTTTTGTGGCCAGCTTCTGGTCTATAATGCATTGCTGCACAAAGTATCTTAAAAGTATAATACTGTATTTTAACCCATCATTTAAACTTAACTTAGCAACTTCATATTTTACAAAACATGCTGCTTTAGAAAACTGTGTGTATGATTACACATGATTCTCAATTCATTTCTGTACAATATGAAAATCTATGAGCAAACTTGTGAAACATGCTTTGGTTGTATGACCTGTCATAGTGAACATCACATTTTTGTTAAAATGACAGTTATGATAAAGACAGTACAAGACCTTTTGACTCAGAACACTAATGTTCACAACTATGGAAGACGAAGCTTAGTATTAATATGTGCCAATGCAACCTCTGCAAGAGAGGCCATTATGGCTGCATGAAACGGCACAAAAAGTACATCAAAAATCTAAAACATTATAAATTTGGACCTTATCTTGCACTAGTCAGCGTTTTTATTAAAATGACAATCCCACGGGAGCCTGCAGTCCTCTTCCTCTACATTGCTTTTTTGGTGTGTTTTTAGCATATTGTTCAGGTTTGTTTCTGCAGCTGTCTTCAGTAAAAACCTGAGCTCGTCCCTAAGTCTCTACTAAAGAGTCAGTTATGTCCTTCTGGAAATAGTGTAAACTAAATCAGATCTAAAAGGAAAGTGAATATTGAACTTAAATTCATCACATAGTCAGAAGCACAACTCTAAACGAATGATAATGTTGCACTGTGTCTGCCTGATGTTTAAATAAGCAACTGTTTGCTTTTTCCCTTTAACAACTTTTTAAACTGATGTTAATTTGTCAGCTTGCTCCTCAGTGCGACTTCAATGACCATAAACTTGAAATAAAGCATCTATGAGTTTGTGTATTATACATGTGGCAGTTACAGCATAAAAAGGTGGCTGTGTCTGGTTGCTTTAAGAGGGGTCAGTGAACACAAGAAGAGTAAAAGACCATTCAGAGGCACAGTAATAACTGGATTATGTTTCACTACTGATACAGGAAATCATTACAAATGCAGTTGCCCTCTCTTTGACTTTCTCAGTCTCTTAAGCTTACACACTTACTGTAAACACACTGCCTCACACTCGCAAAGTCAGTGGCTGCTATGTTGGACAATGGAAAATAGTATAATTCGTTTTCTTCTTCTCTGCTACTTAATCTCTGTCCCCCTCTTTCTCTCTCTCTCTCTCTGTTGTTACTGTTCTGCTAACATGGATCCATTACACAGAGGTCAAATCCTGTCTTTATGGTCTGAGTGGTGGGATCATGAGCTCAGCTCAATACCAGATTGAAGTGGCTGTTTTTATCCAATATATTTTGAAATACACAGAAAGAGAGAGAGAGACTAAACCTAGACCTGTTGAGTATGAAGGCACAGTTACAATAACTGCCCTGGAGTCATACACCACAATGAATCTAGTCTTTTTATGCCTCCAAAATCAGTTTAGGATAGTTAAACATTCAGCAAACTTGCTTTGTATGCAAATTAGGCATGGATGATATATTCAGTTCATACTATTATTAAATATGAGAGGAATTATTACTGGAATATGGGTTTTATGTAAAAGTTATGTTTTCATTTGCTTAAAACTTATTCAAGGAATTTTTACATTTTTTATGATACAAAGCTTGCATGCGCAGTGATCAGGTTCCCCAGTTGAATAACATTTATTTAGATGAGCTTTTGTACTGTCGCTAATGCACTAAAGTGAAACACTAGTGAAATGTCTTGCACTAAATTCCATTAAGCTGTGGGGGAGTTGTGTAACTGGCATGTGAATTACAAGCACTATGGAAATAATTAAAATAAGCATTTGAGCCTGTGGCTTTTTTGGCTTACCTTGAGTACATTCTCCTCTGTAGTCCTACAGCTGGTGTAGTTGGTCACATCTGTGACTGAGCCATTGGCCTCCACAGCCAGAGTTTTCACTGGGACTGACACTATTTTACCCGTCAGTACAGCTGTATTCAAGATATCAGTGTTCTGTGCAGGTAGAAGAGTAGATAGAGAGCGAGTCAGCCATCTGTGAACAGAGTCAGTTTTATTCACAGTCATGTACAAGGAAACTAGATGATTGAGGTTGTTTTGGAAGAAAAGAAGAAAATTCACCTTCTTCTGTTTGACACATTTGGCCACCATATATAAGAAACATGTCTGAACATCCTGCTGGACATGATACAGTGCAACCATCACTACAGTATTTGTATGGGAGCAGAGATGACAGGCAGAGAGTGGGTGTTAGCAAGACTAACAGGGATTAAAACATGCAGTTCATTCAACTCACACTGACGCAACACTCATACACAAACTGGACAGATGCACTAAAAACCTAAAAACTAATAACTCTGCAATTATAATATAAAGTACATGTCTGTCGCTTAGAAAGACTCACACACCTGCATGAAAAGAAGCCTTCCATTGTATTATCCATAGAGCTGCACTTCCACTCACTCTACCAACTAAACCTGATTACATTTCTAATGTTCCAACCCATTTTACCACCAGGTATTGAGCAGCAGCTTAGCTGTTACACATTGTCATTTTTATATTTTAACTCTTTTGTCAACATGGATTTACAACTACTTTCCAGATTTTAAGATATCTGATATGGTGTTTTAATATATTAAAGGTGTTGGAAGTATGTGTGTGTAAAAAGCTCAGATGCTTGTAGACTAAAGCATCAGACAGCACTCAGCAGATGTTCCCTGGCAACTTCATGTTCTATGTTCTGAACTCTGTCGCCCTAGCAGCTGCTGACCGCAGTTCCAAAAGGACATGCTCTATTTCAGACAGCAACACTGCCCCAAAACATAAACCCCCAGATCAGGAGTAGCACAGCATAAGAAAGCAATATCAGCGCTCTGTGGAGCTGGCTGACCGAGAGATCTTAATGTCTGATTCCACAAACTGTGCAGTAATCTGGCTTGGGGTGATCAAGTTCAGCTCAACTAGTTCAGCTCTATTGTAAATCTGCTCCCGGCCTTTTTGCCTTTTTTTTTTCACATGGCTGTCTCTGTCACTTTGTTTCAATCATGATTTGGTACAAAAGTGGCATCTAGTAAAGGCTGAGCCCTTTAGAAGCAAAGATGGGCTGAGGATGTATGTCTGAGAAAATTATTGAAATGTTTAAAAAGAATGTTCCTCAACAAAAGACAGGAAGGGATTTGAATATGTCACCTCCTACAGTGTATAACATAATTAAAAGATTCAAGGAATCTGGAGGGATTTCAGTGCATAAAGGACAAGGATCAAGAATCGTCACTCCTCTATAAGCAATATAACCACATGGGCTCAGGATTACTTTGGCATACCTATGTCAGGCACTACAATAGGTAGTTACATCAATAAATCCTGCTTAAAACTGTACTGTGCTAAAAGGAAGCCCTATGTCAACAGTGTCCAGAAGTGCAGTCAACTGCTCTGGGCTCGGAGACATCTGGGATGGACCAACACACAGTAGAAAGGTGTACTGTGGTCAGACGAACCAGTATTTCAGTTTTTTTTGGAATGGATGCCATGTGCTCTAGACCAAAGATGAAAAGAAGCATCCAGACTGTTACCAGCAACAAGTCCAAAAGCCAGGGTGTGTCATGGTCTGGGGTTGTGTCAGTGCCCTTGGCAAAGGGAACTTACACTTCTGTGATGCTCCATTGATGCTGAAAAATACATAGAAATTTTGGAGCAACATCTGTTGCCTTCAAGACGACATCTTTTCCAGGGATGTCCATGGATATTTCATCAAGACAATGCAAAACCTCATACTGCACACTATTTTCAGCTTTAATTCTGATTGTACACACTGTCCCAAAATGTAAAGCTACTACAACTACTTTAAAGGAAAGAAGCCACAGCATAGTTATAAAATAGGTTGTTTCACTTCACTGTTACACAACATAATTTTAAAAGATATGCAGATTCATGCTTAAATGTATTATACATGTGAGGAGATTAAAAATGTATCTCACAGTCAGCATTTTGAACTGACACAGATTGTGTGCTCACCATGACCAGAGGTGCCAGCCCCACATAGTCTTTCTTTGTTGTGTGGATCTGCATTATGCCCACATCATTGATGTTCCCTGGCAATTCCAGACGCCAGGAGATAGTCTGAGTCTCAACCTGCTCTGAAACATCTTTCGGCACAAAGTCCACTTGTAAAACTTCAAGAAGACCCCTGTTGAAATAGAGCATGGTTAGATAAGGGTTGCATTCAAATATAGTAAATATACAACATTATGTACAGCTGTCCTAGTCATGGTCTAGTATAAAGGCTGATATTCTGTAAATATATTGTAAATGTGGGTCAGGCTGTTCATTTTGGCAGTTATTACTATTTAGATCTATTGATTGCTCTACATTACGTGAGAAAATGAACAAGTAAATTACTGAATTAAAGGGAAATGAATCAAGTGTTTAACTGTGTTCAGTAATTACATATAAGCTACCTCATACATTCTTGGTATACATTTGAAGAGGTATAATTGTGAGTATAAAGATATAAATCAAATTTGTGTTATATTAGGGACTGACCAGTCCATTGTTAAATTACTAAGGCTGATCCAGGTAAAAAAAAAAAAAAACAAAACACAGCAAAAAAGACATCAGTTGAGTGAGTTAACAATCCAACCTGCCAAATATTTTTATGAAACTTTTGGAAACTGTCTGGTGTCAAGAGACAAAGATGCCTTGGTATAACAGATGGAGAATGAGCTGATGTGACCTGTGCACTCTCTCATGTCTTATGAAGGAGAAAAGCACATATTTCTAGAGACACTGTCTATGAAAATGAAAGAGGCAAAAATTACTCTGAAATTTGTGCAAAAGTGAAAGCAATACAAGTCCCATTGCTGTCAGCATATGGAAAAGAAAGGTGACAGTGTGGAGGGAAGATGAAATGACCTGGCAGAGACTTCAGCCAAGTACTCTGGACAAAGGTTTGTCGAGGAAATGGCATGCGATATTATTCGATACTGCAGAAAATGTGTGGGCATACCAGCCAGCAGGAAGGGACAATAGAGCAGAATGTGAATGGAGCTGTGGCACTTTGAAGTGGAGCAAAACTTTGCATAAAGCAAAACAATGAACCTTCACATGGCTAAAGGTCCTGTTTAATAAAGGTCAGCAGCAACAAGAACAAACATATACAGCATATCTCATATTCACTTGTTCATGCTCTGTTAAAAGGACTAATAGCTGGGGGGTGAGGAATGAAGAATTCAATCAAAGAGGCAATTCTCAGGTGATGTGTGGCTCTAGATGTCACTGATGAAAAGCACATTTGAGATTCTAGTTCTTCTTATGAATATTTTTCCAATGAAAATCTGCTCCCCATGTTTCCCATCTCTGAAGGTGAGTTTCTCCTGACCAGTGTGATCAGTGTAAAAACAAAGCAGGACAGTCCTCGTCAACCCTGGAGGCTATGCTGGAGGCTGTGTGGGATATACAACTCGTAAGGTTCCTAAAGTGGAAATGCAGCATAAGTCTGAAGCTACCAGTTAAGCTTGCTAACTTAGCTAAGCATAAGGATTGAAATAAATAATTGACACATAACCCCATAAAACTAGAATTTGTCATTATTACACTTGGGCTTTTGGATGGATTAAACAAACAAGATAAAACCTTTCTTTTGGCCCCCCCCCCCCCTTCCTCTTTCCAGCATATATATCTATGTGTTTCCCGTTTTTATGCTAAGATAAACTTAGGTGTACAAATTGCATCTTCTCATTTAACTCTCTGCAAGAAAGCAAATGAGCATATTTCCAAAATGGAAAACTATTCCTTTAACATCCTTTATTAAAGAAGATGACTGATCCCATATTGAGCTTAACATGTCAAATGTACTGTACAACAGACAAAATCAAAATCCTGTATTAGTGCATGGAATGTATAATTGTACCTGTACAACTTGCCGGAGGTCATGTCTGTCTTGGACCAATGTACTTGAAAGTATGCAAAACTAACTTGCTCTGCAATAAGCCCAAATAAAATGCCATTTTTACTGCAATGTTCTTGTCTTCCTGTATTTTTTTAAGTGGCTCCACACAGATTGTAAACAGAAATGATTCACACTGAAAATGCTGCAAGAGGGACAGAAGGGGCTAATGCCCCTATTTCCTGGAAATCCATCTATTAGGGGGACTTTAAACCTCTGGACGTATCATCACTTCAAAGCAGAGTGGTGGGAATGTGTGTGCGTGTGTTCGCTTGCATACATTGCATGTGCGGGAGCTCAGTATAAGAGACACAACTTTGGAAAATCTCTCCTTCCTAATCTTCTCTTCTGAATGTGCAAGCACTTAAGCCTGGATAATGTGGTGGCGACGATGATTACAGATACAGTAAGTGGGTCGGACGGGCAGTGGGTGGTGTGCGCTTGCATGGGTGGGACTTTGCCGGGCAGAGGTAGCTGCTGGTTTTTCCCACCACCAGCATCGGGCAACACTGATTAAATCAGATAGTGTTTATCAGACAAACAGGCACAACTAAAACTTTAATATTCGATAAGATAAAATAAGAAAAACCAACTGACATTCAACAACTGCATCAATCTTGAGAGTAAAAAAGAGGGTATAGGAAGCAAATATTTGCATTTGTTTTGTTTTATAACCTGAAAAATAAAAACATTATAGCATATTATATATTATAATAGGTACAAATGTGTGTCTGATTATTCTGTAAGACTATAATTGTACTGACAGATTTTTTTAAGTATCAGTTTCAGCCCATCCAGGTAAAAATAAACAAAGCCATACAAATAGAAATTCTTACAAGAGAACTAAAAATAATATTTGCCTCGCTGGTTTACAATTTTTGTTAACACCTTAATATTCTGAAGTTGTTTGAAATGAGTGTTAGACACCAAGTGTCTGTCAAGGTGTCAAAAGGAATCCTGCACAAAGTAGGATCTGCAAAAGGCAGAGCGGGTATACATTTTAAAAGCTAATGAAGATACATATGGGTATTCTCTTACCACGACTGGCAAAAGCAAGTGCAATATACTACATGACAGCTGATGCAACAGCACTTTCTTTTACACAGACATAAACTAAATTTTGTGCGCTTGGCTGCTTACAGTCTCTGCACCAGTACAAGGTTACAAAGCCACAAATTATTACTTTTTCTCTGGAAAAAGAAATCATTGATTTTCCCTGCACTGTAAAGTTAATGTAACATTGAGGATATTTTTTCCACCACAACAGATCACATTCCCTCATGTAAGCAGTGGGTATTATCGAAATCTCAGAAAATAGAGGCAATAAGAGGCAATGAGAAGTGATGAAAGATGATTTTTTTTTTCCCCTGTGTGTAGAGAAAGTATTTTTTGAAAGGGACTGGTGAAAAGACACAAAGCTGACCTCTTTGTAGTGATAACAACCTTCCTGTGGCAGACAACAGAGACAGTGTTGGGGGTCACTCCTGTGCCCGGCTCCACTACGATGTCCCACAGCGCTGAGTCACTGGGACGAACTGCATTGAACGACAGGCCTGTCTTCACTGACGCCCTACAGTGAAAGCATTCGGTTAGTATGAAGCACACATTTTAACCATGAGATGTGTAAAAGAATAAATAAAGCACTATACACTGTGCTGCTGACTGTGAATCTTGAGTTACCAGCAAAGGTGTTACTGTAATAAGCACATGCTGTATAACATTTTGTGCAAGACTCTGTATAATACAGTGTAATAATGCTCTAACCCTGAATAGAATTATTTCAATTGTTTCTTTTTTTTCTATGCAAACTGTACAGGTTTTGTGTTTCGCTGTTCACACTGTGCCTAACGAGGTGAGTCACAGCAGACTGATGTATCCCAGACTGAGACTTAGCATGGGGTATTTGATTCCCATTAGCCCTGGGGACAACTGGGAATCGGTTAATCAGATGTCTGATTCAGACACACCCATCAGTCTGCTAGAAGTGATAGAACACTTATTATAAATACTGTCAAGAGACCAGCAGGCATCCCTGTGATAAGTTGTTGCATTAAAGATCATGTATGCATGTGACAAATGGTAAACTGCTGCCATGATAAGATGCTTATTGTCTGTGAAAAGCAAGGTAAATACATTCACAGTGCCATAAAACCTCTATCACCTGCCTCATCTGTTGATACCAGGAAGCACAGATCTACACTTTCATTTTGTCTACAAAAGCCCTGGTCCTGCCATCAGATTGTTCAGACACAAACTTAGGATTTATTAGGACAAGTGACAGCTTTCTACTTTCTAGCAGTGCCCCTCTAGCCCATCCATTTCATGACCTGATAGTGATACATTCAGTGAATATGCCACTTATCTAAACCGAAGTCTCAGCGTAATTGTACATAGCACATTATACCTGGAAATCATTGTAGAAAGGCTTCTTTTTGCATAATTCCTGGTCATGCTTGCTTTTTTTTTCATCAGTCTCTCTCTGTTCCTGTTGTAACAACTTGTTGTCTCACTCATAATACAATCTTCAAATTTGCTGATGAACATTAAGACTGACAGATGGAAAGACACACGTACACCTCCCTGCCCTTAGGTTTCACACATCCAGAGATAGACACACACGCTTACAAATACTAAGTAAGAACCAGACTAATCAATAACCACTGAGACAGGGTCAAGGTCAGAGCTGTTTGACAGACAAAATACAGAATGCAATCATCTTGGGTGTGTGCACATATGTGTGCACACACTGCAGTTAGTTTTTGAAGCAAACTGACAAGCTGAAACTTCAGACAGTGAAAGATAAAGACATACTTGTGTGCAGAGATCAATGTCTGGATCCAAACCTTATAGCCAAGATACAATCTCCACATTACATTTTCATTTTACACAAATGTCACATCATAACAGACAACAGACAGACTATTTAACATCCGCTGACTCATTTTCTCGCTGCTTGTCCAAATCAATGTCACAGTGACAACAGCACCTGCAGACCATCCTGCCTGGTAGTACCACCTACTGCAACTGGCTCCTGTGGAGTGTGGTTGAGCAGTAACTCAGTGTCAGGATCTTTGTGGATCACTGAGTTTCTCAGCCACAAGCAGACGTGAGCTTCCCTGCAGAGAAACCTCATCTCAGAAACTTCTGCCCTCACTCTTTGTCTTTGTCAGTCACTATGTAGAACTCATGACCACAGGTGGGAAACAGAATGGATCCTGACCTGTAAACTGAACCTCTGTTCCACCAAACCTTTTGCTAACAATGTGAGGTGGGCAAAATATTGAATTTAAACATATTGCTGATACTTAGAGTATATTTTCACTTTTTTAACTGTTGTGCGCAGTGTAAAATGTACATATTTTCTGTCCTTTCTACATAAATGTGATGTCACAAAAAAGATTAATATTCAGTTTGATGAAATGTTTGTATTACACGACTCAAGTGGATATGATAGAATTGCAAAGCATACACACACACACACACACACACACACACACACACACACACAAACACACACACACTGATGTAGACAATTAATCCTGGCAGTCTACCCAGATCGTGTCTACCCAAAAGGTTTAACCTCCTGATTCATTTTCAATCAGAGCCACAGATTATCTGGCAAAACTGTGCTGGAGTGGACTCAATCTTGGGCCAAAGAGTGAAGCAGAGGAGGGATTTCTCCCAGGAGGAATCAATCACTCTGCCAAGCTCCTCAGAGCAAGCCTTCACTTGGACTTTACCAGTGGACTCTTCCTGTCCAATCTCATTCTGGATGCAGCACTAGGTCAGAAATAAAATCACTGACCTGACTGCAGGGACTCCGCTGGTACAGTTAGTCAGAGAATTTCAGGTGAAGTGGCTGTAAATCCTTCCAAATAGTCAGAACAACAGATGTCAAAGGGTCAGTGCCTCTACCAAATCTTTTTCACATAATTTCAACAGTCCAAACAGAGCTACATCATTGGGTCTATGTGTTTGTGCACATGCAGGCATGTTTGTCACGGGAAGTCTGATGTTTGAGAATAGCACTGGGACAGACTGACAGAGGTATATCTATGTGCCCTATGGATTAGCTTACATACTGTATGTAACATACAGTATTTATTTAACACACAATATTTCTCTCCATTTGCCCACTTCCTGTTGCACATTACTGTACGTTTGTTTGCGGCATGATATCAATAAATCATGTAATTACAGAAAAAACTGTCTTGCATTTCAAGCAAAACTATTAAGCTGAGTAAAGCTTCAACACACACACCTCACTGCAATAGCTTTACCCTTTACTGATCTGTAACATGCTGATAACAAACACTTTTACTCCACACAGCCAAGTGTATCAAAAGGCAGCAAGAAGAAAGTTTGGAAACAAATTGAACTGTGTGTTCCAGTGCAACACTGCTTATTTTGTATTAAGTTTGCATTGACCCAAAGGAGTCAGGAAAATGTTAGCTATTTGTTTTCCTCCACTGTTAAATAGATGCATTATTTATAATGTCAAATACCCAGAAACCCCGTTGAAATATTGGTGGAATGTTGAGATATGTAAACCGATGAATCATTTCCCAATTATTTCTCTGTTTATGGAAGAGTGCTCTGCATTACTCCCCCACTAACTGAGAAGTTGAAGTAGACAGGATATAATATGTCAGTAATTTATGAAGCCAGTGAAACCGGCAGACAACACAAGTCATGTTGGCGTTCAACCATTTTACTGCGTGGCCTTGATGGCAAGCCCCATCAGCATTCAAGTGCCTTAAGTAACCATTTAAATGCATGGAACTTATACTTCATGAAGATGCTCAAATATACTCTACATCAACACAGTCTCTTTTTCTGCTTCATATGTTTCTGTGATAATTAAGCTTTATGTGACTCCACCTAAACTCTTGCCCTCTGCAAACTCAACAGCATAGCTGAATAATTTTTATGTTTTCTGGGAGTGACATTTTAAGTTAAAAACCCTCTTGTTTTATTTAGTTATGAAGGGCCAAGGTGCCATGTCGGCATTC